CTCTACAATTGAGATATGCTCAACAAAGACATCTCGTGTTTCTTTCAGTGTTGCACAAAAGTTCAATAGTTCCAAATAGTAAACTCGACCAGTATCAGCATTACAACGAGCGGCATTACTGAGCATTACTGAGATCATAGGTTCTTTCGTGACGACCTTGTGTTGAATATTTAACAACAGACGGCATAGCAGTTTTGCAACTTCATTTTGACGTTCGCTTGAATTTGACAGAATGTATGATGGACAGAGTTCTTTATAGAAAGTTACTGCACAGGATTCGGATTCATTAAAACTTTCTGCGTAATTTTTTGAGAGAATACACTGTAGTAACGTATCTAAAAAATAGGGTCCTAGCTGCTTTGAACGGTCTTTAGCATAGGCATGCCGCAGCATATGATTAGCAACAGAGTATTTGAGCGGAATTACGCTTGAAGAAGCCAAAGTTTGAAATAGTTTTCTAACTGTTTCCAAACTTTTTCGTGAATAAAATGATTCTTGAACGAGACGACAACAAGTTTTATCTGTATTTAACGGACATGAATCCAATAATGAAGCCATTGCATGAAAACTATGCCAGTCTCGATCGTTAAAGTCACTGTCTGTTTCACTTGCTTTATCGATAAGTTTCACAAGTGAATTAGTGATTAAAAGCCATACTTCATGTTCGTCGAATGGAGTACGAGCAAAATTATCAACAACTTTGTTATTTATTACTTCTGTACAGAACGTTTGTACCAGTTTTAAACCTTCATTTGATGTTATTACATCATTCGCAGCTACGTCGTAAAAATCTGCATTAACATTGTCAAGAAGAAACTTCAGATTATCGTTTGTAATTGCTGACCTATTAATATGCAGTTGTTGAATATGGGATTTTAATAATGAGAGTCTACTTTGCATTTTTGCTAACTTTAGAAGTGTACTCTAGAAAGAAGAATGAAAAAATGAAGTACCTTGATGGTTACTGTGCTACTTACAGTGAACTGGGTGAGTGTTTTGTTAACCGATAAAAGTTCTCGACACGGACTGTCTACATCGTAGCGCTGTCTTATAGCTTGGTTTCTTCCAAGTAATATGTCAATCTTGACAATAAAAACGATAATCAGAAGGTGGAGAAAGATTTTTGTGTGTTTAAAAAGAAAAAAAATGAAAGCAGAAAAAAACTGTTGAGTTAAAGCATGTAAAGCAAAACTCAAAGACAAACAGAATGATGAAATTACGGCGATGAAAACAGAGTCCTTCAACACTGAGAAAAAAATAAAATATACAAGTGGTAATCCTTTTTGGTTTGATTGATGGTGTACAGATGTGACGAAGATGGAAAATCAACATTAAACTTTAATCTAACACTAGCGAATAATCAAAGTAGCTCTCTCAGCAAAATCTAAACGTATAAAGGCCAAGGGGGAAAAAGCATACTTCTGTACTTCTGGTACTTCTCCGTACTTCTTGATACTTCTTCGTACTTCTTCGTACTTTTTTGTACTTCTCCGTACTTCTGAAGTACGAAGTACGAAATACGAAAT